CACCTATGCCTCTGTGCCCYGGATGTTAACATATGAGGCTGAGGATACCTGGATAGCCCCTTGCACTCTCCAGGTCCAATTCAAGAGTTGCCCTGTCTTCCAGGGGGAAGCAGACATACCCCTTTCCGCTACATATGCTGAAAGAAGCAGCCTGGCTCTTGCCAGTCTCACGCACACCTGCTGTCCTGGTCCTGACAATAAGGTAATAAGGACCTACGTGCAAGTTCCCAACCCTCTACTATCTCAAGTCTCATCCGGAGCTCAAGGTCAGGGGGTCCTCATGCCAGCTAATGGGAGGTTAGGACTGTGATGGGGTGGCTCTACCTGCCAGAGTATCCCAGTACCTTGTCCAGCTGTTCAGCCTGCCCACTCCACGGTCAGTCACAAAGGAGTGGCCTTAGAAATCCTGAGCATCCATGTCGTACATCTGGAGGCAGGAGACCCATAGCCTTTGGCGACTAGGCCCTGTGCTTTATCTAGGCTGAAACTACTGTTGGCCCCTGGCCCTGTACCAGCCCCAGAACCACAGGGCTCCCTGACGTGTTCGGAGGAAATCAGGCAACTTTGCTCAGTCACGCTTGCTAGGCTCCAGCCTGATGCGATCTCTCAAGGTAGAGATGAGCTGGGCTGGCTTAGGGATCCTAGAGCAAGGACTGGGGTAGGTGGGTATGTGGTTGACCTGCGTGCTTTCTGCAGGCACAGTTCAAAGCTTTACAGTCAGGAAGGATCTGTCAATGGGCAGACATTGCAGACTCCCTGCAGGTCTGGCCTGAACCAAATTGTGGTAACAACAGGATACCTAATTATATTCCATAGTAAATTGATCTTTGTCTGTCCTGGTTTTTTGAAGAAGCTCATCATCTGAGAATTTAGAATGGTATAAAAGTGTTTGGATTGTGGGATCATCTCAAGCACTCCCAATAAACTATTCAAACGATTAGAGTTAGGGTTAGAATTGATGGTGGGGATCAGAACTTGGGCCCTCTCTGGCAGCACTTAGGACCTGAGCAACTAGTAGATTTGCCCCAGGTGGGGCCCAGTGCTCTGGAGGAATGAAAGTGTTACTCATCAGGAAAGGGCTGTCATGCCACAGAGACCCCAGAAGTTGTTGGAAGGGGCTCTGGAGGCCAGGTGAGTGGGTTTACTTGAGATTAGATGTCTCCTTGCCAAATGGATCTGGGGTTTGGGGGCCCCCACTGGCCCTGGAGATGCATGGAGGGAAAGATGAGGCGGGGTTCCTCCTGCTCCATCGAGGGCCAGAGGGCATCCAAGTCACGAACTGGTGACAGGGCTACTCCCAGTCCCTTCTAGTCCAGGGGCTGAGCAAGGCTGGCCTCTGTCATGACTCTCACTCTCTAGCATTTCCACACCCAGGCTTTATTGAAGCAGCAGGCGCTAACTAATGCATCAGTTACAGACATGTGTCCCCAGGAGCCCCCCCCCCCATCATCCACCCACAGACTTGTCTGCCAGCCCAGGGCCAGCAGATTCCCTCCCCACCTCTATAGTAAATTATTTCCATTATTTCCTCCAGTCCTGTTCCTACAGCTCTAACCCCAGGAGAAGACGAAGTGCCAAAGGTCTCCATCAGTCCTCTGACATGATTTCCATCCTTCTATGGATATGATAACACTCTCTAAGGCTTCCTTGAACTGGGAGAAATCACTTTGCTCAATAGTACAGTCCTTGGGCGTGTCTGTTGGCTAAATAAGAAACACATGTTTAAGTCATCTTCTTAGCAGAACAACAACAACGAAGAATACAATAAAAGTGAATTTCTGTCCTCCCAGCCATGAGGGTCTTGTGAGCCCCCAACACCTACAGGGTAACTTAGGCATACACTCCCTGTCTGTCTGAGGGAGGACAGGGGTGGGGGCTGCCTGCCTGGTGATGGCAGAGTCTAAGGATCATTTGCAGTCGTGGGAAAAGAGACAACAAGGTGACAGCTATTGTGTCMTGGCTATCCAGGACAAGGTCATGAAGACAAGCAGGATGGGAGTACACAGGGGGCCACACAAACAGAGAGAGAACAGCCCTGTCATTTTTCCAGACATGGCCCCTAAACTACAGCTCATCCCTCCATCACTGACTCCCTCAGCCAGAAGAGGTCCCAAGGGTGGGGGACTGGCTGCCCTACCAACTGGAGTCAGCACGGAGAGGCCCTTCCCACTCCCTGGGCTGAGTTGTCTCAGACCTGCCCTACACTGACCTCTGTGGGGGAGGAGGGCCTTGGAGAGGACACAGACAGAAACCCCAGGAATCCCTTTAACTTCACACTCCCTCACGCCTCACCTCCCACTCCCTACCCTCCACCCTGTCAGTGAGTGTCAGCTCTGAGGCAGCCCAAAGAAGAGCTACTATATGGCTCAAGATAGCAGCTGAGGATGGCAAGTGTTGTCCATAAGACCTTGGCCCACTGGGCTCCTGCAGGAAAATGAAGTCTTGGATTCCCCTAAAAGTAAACAGCAACTTACTTCCAGTTTGGGGCAGATTTTGGTGAGCTCCTCCATGTCCTTATAAACCTTTATTATGTGACAATCCTGATGCTTATATCTTGCAGCAAGATCCTTCAGGGTGGAGGTGAAGTTCTTCGTAAACTCCCCATAGCAGAGCTCCTGAAATAAATTTGGGGTGCACTCGGGTGGGGAGTACGTAACAGAGCACCAGCCACCTCCCCAACTCATCCATCCTTGGTTACCCTGGCCTAACAGAGCCTGGGACTTACGCTCAGGTCCTACCCTGATTCCTACAAGAGACCTGTGGGCCCTGCAGTAGAGTCAATTWGTGTCTTATGCCCATTGTCTGCCTCTGCCACTGGGCCAGGGCTAAGCTGGGACAATGGCCAGAGAGCCTGGCAAAGTCCAGGACCTGGCCACTGGTTCATCCTTTGGCTGAGCTGGAGGTTCTGTTTTTTAATTTTCAGCATCTCCAGCATCCCTGGTTCTTATCTCTACCCGGTGTGCCAACTCAAGCAATCCCTCTCTCTGGGTTCAAATGTGGTCAGAAGGGTCCAAAGAGTAGACACTCCTTACCTCACTGGTATTCTGGGGCCTACTGAAGGAACCCTGAAAGCAAGAGAAGTTGGTCAGAAACACAAAGCTCCATGAGAGCAAATTAATTCGATGAAGACCCAGGCTTACCTCATATATATTGTTGTCAGCAGAAAGTTCTTTCTGAATCTCAGCACAGAGTGCCGTGTGATTTTTGTGTGAAGTTTCAGTGGCTAACTTCATTGGGGAAGAATGACTTTGTGACCCCCAGAGCACACAAGCCAGAAGCACATACAGGTACATGGTACTCCTTGAAGGTAGCTCCCAGCAGACCTGAACCGGGGCTGGGCAGCATGTCTGCAGGAAAGGGTACCTATATATGTGAGTCTAAGGAAATGCAAACCTCTTATCAGTCATCAGTGGCTTCTGAGGAAGACAGAGAGGAGTTTATCGCTGGACAAGATGTGCTTTTCATGCATTTTTAATAATCATAGCACACTTCATTGGTCCTTCTCTTTGCTGAAATTCAGTTTTGGTCTAAGACTTATTACTTGTAATCACATCTGGGGTTGTGACCTTTCTGTCTGCATGTGAGACAGGTGTCTGGCCAGGACTGGTGCTGTCTGCAGGTACATCGTCACCGTCTAATTCCAAAGTATTTTCATTAACCCCCAAAGAAATCTCATGCCCATTAGCAGTCTCCTTCCCTCCTTTCTCCAACCCTTGGCAAACTATTATAGTTTTGATTTGTTTTTCTCTTAAACAACATTAAGCGTATTTTTAACTGTTGAGTCAAGTGTCTGCAGAGCTGAAGCCATAGCAAAGCCATCTTCCCCAGGCCCACCTCCAAGGACAAGGCTGGCCCTGCTGCCCACCTGAGTGGAGACACAATCTCACTTCCTCACTGTCCCCACACCCAAGGGACACAAGAAACTAGGTACAGGGACAAGGTACTCGGCCTGGCTGGCAAAGCAAGGAGAAGGAGGAGGACTGCTTTTCTCTCAGCCTAAAGGCCATAGATTTTAAGAGACAGTAACTGTAAACTTCATGTGAAAGTAAAAACTAATTTAGAAAAATGCTACACAAGAGCCATGTTCAACACACTATGAACTTCACATTCTGACTCYTAAAGATTAAGATCACCCAATTTGGGGTGAGTTTGGTAAATATGCTGAGCTCTGACCCCTGTGGTTTGGTTTCTTTTTCCATGAACAGTTGGTCTATTTGCTGATTTACTTTAAGAGTTGTTGAAGCCCTGAGAGTGAGGGCAGGGCGTGGGGCACCAGGTCCAAGGCCTCCAAGGGGCATGGGTGTTTTGCCTGACACCAGGGTGAACCTATTCAGACAGTGACCAGTCAACCCCCAGGAGCACCCAGACCTCCCCAGGAGGGAGCATGCCCTTTCTCTGGGGCAGGCTTCCCCTAGCCACAAGCTAGTTGCTTTGATTTCCAGGTGAACCTAAATCTTTTCTCTGGGGTGGGAGCCCTTGAGCATCCAGGGGCGTACACCCAGGTGTGCACAATGCTGCACTCAGATCCCACCTCCCTTGGGCTCAGCAGCTTTGCCCTGAGACCGTGCCCCAACCCCCGCACCTCCCCATCCCTTCCCCCACCTGCCAGCTTCCTCCCCTCCTGAAAAGACACCAGAAAACTGTGTAAATRAAAGCAGACGTTCAATAATTTATTACGATGATAAAACATCTTTAATAAATATAGGATAGGAGTTTAAATAAATAAATAAATATTTTAAAAGTATAAATATATAAATAAATAGTATTAATCCCCACCAGTATAAAATAACCCACACTCCTCTACCATGCCCATATCAAGGTCAGCATGGCCCAGGGCAGGTCCGGGCCATCCCCATTGTGTCTGTGGCCCACCCGCTTGGTCCCTATAAGACGAAGATCCTGAGTTTCTGGCTCTTTCTGGGTGAGAGAGCCGAGATGTATGAGGTTAGGTCCTGGGAATGGCCTGATAGCCTGGCTGGCCCTCACTTCTGGACTTGGTTTCAGCAGCTAGAGGAGATGTCAGCCAGAAATTTCTTCAGGTCCACTTTGAAACTTTTGAAGGTGATAAAATGGGTCTTGCAGGAAGTTTCCTTAAGAAAAATGAAAATAAAAAACACTTGAGTCCAGGTGAGTGCGTAATATGGGGAAACAGCAGCATATTTTTGGATTGCCTCTAAGAAGTCAGGCCAGGAGGCCCATTCTGCCGGGGATCGGGTGACACCTTGCCACCCATGTGCTACCCAAGGGGTGCATAGCTCTGCCAACACAGCTGGTGCCAGGGCCCTGACAAAGTGCCAGCCTGAGCCAGTCTTCTGAATAGTCAGACTGTTTCTTTGACCCCAGGCCAGGGCAGAATGGCCACGTGGAGGCCATCTCCCAGCACTTGGAAGGAACGGGGGTCAAGACCATAGACCTCACTCCCTTCCTGTGGGAAGAGACCGGTATTTGGGGCCTTGTCCTCTCCTGACAGGCCCCCTCCTTCCATGCAATCCATGCAATCCATGTGGGGTCATGGGAAAGTCCTGTCAGGAGGAGCACTTGGGCCCTGGCATTTCCTCTGGACCTTGAGCAGGCCCTGAGTTTCCTTGGGTTTGCCTCACCTCTGACCTCATTCCTAATGACTTCAATAATAAGAAGCACGGCAGCTGCTGCTAGGGGGGTACCATGGGCTTCAGAGTTCTGTGTTTTTAACTCCTAAGGATGAAAAGGGACTAGCAGTTCCCGTGCTGCAGGGGCTCATCATTACCTGTCTGTCAATGCAGAAAACTTTAGGGGTGCTGAACAGCCACAGCCTGAGGTGTCTCCATACCCTGACCCCACCCTCCTGCCTGGGGCCCTGATGTGGGCACTTACTGGGGTGGGGGGGCAGTACTCCTTGTAGTGGCTCGCCATCGTGCTCAAGAGGCTCTTCAGCGTGGTGAAGCTGCCCGGCAGGCCCTGCTCGTACAGCTTCAGGCGGGTCTGCAGGCATGTTGGCTCCTGGGGAAAGTGTTCGTTCCTCCGTGAGCAGAGACCAAGTGCCAGTCGTGGGCACAGGCTGCCCTCCCCATCACTCCTTCCTGTTCCCATCCCTTGCACCCAGGAGAAGGGCCTCAAAGGGGCACAGAATGATCCCCAACTAATCTCAAGAGGAGTCCAGTCATACACACTGCCCTGTCCACTGTGGACATTCAGTGCCTTAGTGGCACAGCCACGTTCTCTTAGCCTGACACTTTGAGAGAGTCCCACCCCCAGGAAAGAAGGCCACTCTCACCCCACCATCCACTAGAGAAGGGGTGGGGAGCGGTGGGGCATGGCCCAGACCTGCCACATGAGCAAGTGCCATTCCTTTGGCAGTCAGCACCCTGATTTCACAGGGCTTGGTCTCAGGGTACAGTTAATGCCCCAAGTCTGCAGTCCTGTCTCATGAGGTAATCCCCACTTTCCCTCCTGATTCCCCCACCCTGGCCCCCATGAGCCTTTGAATGCTAGGTCTCCCCATAGCTGCTCAGCTGACACAGAACCCACATGATCAGGTTCAATGCAAGGCCAGTGGTCTCTTGAGTGCCCGATGCTGCCCCTCCTCCTGTGGACACATGTGAGGGTCCATCTAAAATGGAGCCCCCAGGTCAGGAGCCCCTGAAAGGGTATAGCAGAAAGAAGCATCTTACCGTAGGGTCAAACACATTAGAGACGACTTCTGTTTCATTCTGTAGAAAGGAAAATGTCATGTTATCGATGACTATCAAAGCAGCTCCTGACAGTGCAAACCAGTTCAGAGCCAGCAGCGTGGCCCAGGTACAGCCTGCCCCTTCTCCCTCACTCACCGTCTCAGCATCGGTGTCATTACTGTGGTTCAGAAGGCTCAGGGCTTCCTTGATGATGGCATCCACATACTTCCTGGGCTGGGGGACAGGGCCAGGAGGGCCGATGGGTGCAGAGATGCTATAAACCACAGTGCCCAGTAGAATTAGTTTCTGCAGCCACATCCTCCTGAGGACTTTAGCCTTTCTCTCTGAGTACAGGGCTCACTGGCAAAAGAGCTCTTATATACACAGTTAGAGGAAATGATTAATGGTGACCACAAAACGCCAGGGAGGCGGGGGAACTACCTGAACTGTGGAATCTCCTGGCCCTTATCAGCCACACATGGGAAAGGTGAGCCTTTCCCCCAGGTGGTCAGGCTTAGGGGTTTTCATTCATGAGCCCTTCCAAGAACGAACAGCCCACCTGCCCACCTCCTTGAGTGCTCTCCAGCCCTGGGCAGTCTGACCGAGCCTTAGGCTGCCCCCTCCTTTTGAGGAGCCTCTGGGCACAAGTTGGACTTCCTGGCCTGGAGTGGCCAGGGCGGGGCTTAGGAGACACTAGATAGGACTCCTACTCCCAGGCTCTCCATCCCGCCTGTTCTCCCAGGAGAACTTTGAGTAAGCTGTACCCACCCTGGTGGCCCACCCAGCCCCAGTTTTCCCCTTATCCTTCTGGCCTTCTCCTCTAGTCACCATAAGACACCAGTGAAAGGGGATTTCTCACTGGCCTCTCCCSTGTCCACTAGAGTTCAGCCAAACACAGTCCTGTGATGGCTCACATAGGCTCCTCCCAAGCACCCACGGGAGTTGGCAAGCTCAGTCCAGCCAAARACCTCTGTCCCTGTGAGCAGAGGGAAGGACAACCATGTGCATTAGTCTAGCAAGACAGTAGCATGCTCTTTCATGGTAAGACCCCAGCTGACAGCTGCAGTCCTCGTTTACACAACAGATACAAGCCTAAAGCTACAGAGCTGGTGTGGACCCTTTGGGATAGAAGGTCACTTTCCTTCTAGAAATGAGTTGTTACAGCTCAGATAGGCAACAAGCCCCTAGGGCTCTGAGTTTGACTCCTGGCTATAGGGCAATGAGGCCCTTTGAGGTGGGCACGCCACCACCACCTACAGCCCCAGCAGCACCAGGAGCCTTGGGGGCTCCATCATGTAGAGTTGTGTATGAGGCCCAGGGCCCACGGCTCCTCTGGTAAGGTCKTTCAGGCTTCATTTCCTACATGGTACCAACTGCAGCCCACCTACAGCTTCAGAGGCCTTAGGTGGGAGCAGGAACTACTTATGGAAAAACTACAGGCTCTTGAGGGGCTGACAAGTGTTTGATTTTCACAATGAGTTTAGAGAAAACAGCATAAGTCGGTGTTTACACAAGGGATCCGGCTCAAGCTGCCCATGCTGGCTGTAGGACTGTGGGTCCACACACCTCCATTTCTGTGTGTGTGTGTGTGTGTATGTGTGTGTGTGTCACATGCAGTGAGAGTGAGTGTGTTGGTCTGTACTCATAAGTGCATCTTGGAGGGGAAGATATATAAGGGTGCATCTGTGTGAGCCTGCTCCCTGTTACCTGCTTTGCGAGAGGTCTCTAGGTCTCATGGGAAACACTCTCCATGCTGGGCATCATGTTTCTGGGCCACAGAGTGATGAGGTCAGACACAAACAAGGACATTCTGATGGACTCAGAAGGCCAAGTCCTCAGATAGCAGGTAGACCTCATGGCCTGACCACTCTGGTCAGAGTCTGTGGCCCCAGCAAGTTTCACCATGTGGTGGGGATTTTGCTGCCCTTGCCCAGGCAAGCCAGGCCTTCATCTTCCAGGCCCCACTGGGGTCCCTGCCAGGATCTGGGGCCCACCGTGAGGCTAGTCTTACCCTTCGGAACCTGATGGAACATTCCCAGGTGGCCAGACTGGGCCTAGGAGGGTGACATGTCCAGGTGCTGGAACTTCCTCCACCTTTCCCACCAATCCTTTGCTCAGCTCCTTCCACRGGAGTTCTCGGAGCGCAGGAGAGGGGATGAGCAGAGATGGAGATAAACACACATTGGGGGTCTGAGTCACATAGGCCTGGAGGCTGGGAGTCACAGACAGTGGCTAAGGGGGTAGCAGCCAGGGAGGCAAAGAGCTGGTGTGGCCCCTCTGGGATAGAAGGTCACTTTCCTCCTAGAAATGAGTTGTTACAGCTCAGAAGGGCAACAAGCCTCTCCTATGTAGCCAGTCCCTGTGCTGGAGGAGGGATACCTGCGACCCTCCCACTGGCCCTCACGTCTGGCTCTTGAGACTTTCAGTGGTAAGAAAAGTTCAGATTCACCTTCCTCAGGTTGGGGGTCCAAGAGAATTGGAGAGCTTCCTTGGAGGCTGCCTCCCAGTAAGGGTTAAGTGGGCAAGTAGAAATCAGGTGGACAGGTTGGGATGTGGGAGAGGTGGGGAAGAGGAGATGGGGGAGAGTGTATTGGCATCAAGGGGCCTGGGGGTTTTGTAGCAGATATGGTAGAGAAGATAGGTTCTAGAGAGACTTAGGAGGTAGAATCTTGGTGATGTAGTAGACTCATTTGTTCGATATTTATTGAGCACCTACTAGGTTCTCAGCAAGGAAGAAAATTTGTTTTTGTTTTATTTTTTTTTATTTTTTTATACTTTTAGTTTTTTTTTAAATTTTTTTATACTGTAGATTGAACCCAGGGGTGTTTAACCACTAAGCCACATCCCCAGGCCTTTTTATTTTTTATTTTAAGTCAGGGTCTTTCTAAGTTGCTCAGGATCTCACTAAGTTGCTGAAGCTGGCTTCTAAGCTTGTAATCCGCCTGCCTCAGCCTCCCAAGCCTCTGGAATTACAGGTGTGCACCATTGCACCCAGCTGGTTTGTCTTGATTCTATATAAGCCACTTTGGGTAGAACCACAGGAGCCTGCTTCCCTTCTCTATGTGCCACAGCCCTACCTGACCCTCCAGGAGAAGCACTCCAATGGTGCCTGGCAAGAAAGGGAGATGTTAAGATGACGGGAAATGGTCAAGGTCTTGCTTTCATGGACTTAGTAACTCCACTGATAGGAAAACAAAATTAATCTACTTGCCCGCCCCACCCCATGTCCCAAAGTGTGCTTTTGAATGTTAGCAAGAAGAGTTGGAATCACTGTCTATGTGACTAGGATGGGTACCCAGAGGACAAAGGGGCAGGTCCTCAAGGTCCAAAGGTCCACAGGAAGGTTTAGGGCTTCCGAGGCTATGTGCACAGGACACAGATTTGGGAGAAGTCCAAGTTCACATGATAGCTGAGGTCATGAGGTTTACTTAAGAAGAAGGGCTGAGGGCCAGAGCAGCTGTGATTAAGGGGTGAGGGCAAGTGACAGGCCAGTGGCCAAGAGCCTGGGGAAGGCCAGCAAGGAAGGAAATCAGGAGCCATAAGGACAGACCCGTGCCAGCAGTGTGGCCTGTGGGTGCCAAAGTCAGCCTGAGCAGGACAGAGATCCAGGGGCTTGGGGATGAGGTTTGTGGGCAGCCACATATCTTTCTTCTGGAAAGATGACATCAGGACTGAGGCCATGACAGAGGCAGGCATTCCTAGATTGCACAYATGGAAAGAAGTGGCAAGAGATAGCATCAGTCTGACTGTGCTGACTCAGGGCCCCCGATGGGGCTGCGGTGGAGCAGAGGCGGTGGTGCGATCCCTCTTGGAACCCTGCTCAGACAGCCAGAAGAGAACCTTTGGAAGGAGTTTCCTATGCGTATCCCTCCCCACAGGCTCTGGAAGAACCGGGGKCTGGAAGCCACCCGGGGATCCTTATCGCAAGAGGAAGTTATCATGGGGGAAGGAAATGGGCCTCGTGGGATGTTCACGTGGACATCTCAGATGATTTGAGCTTTCTTTATGCCTGTAGCCCCTTGTCCTCACAGGGGGTCAGAGATCCGGGAGATCCTTATGCAGCCCAGTTCACACCATCAATGACAATAGAGCCAGGATTTGAACCTATTCTGTTCCTGATCAGAAAGTCAGGAAGTCGGGGCTGGGGATGTGGCTCAAGCGGTAGCGYGCTCGCCTGGCATGCGTGCTGCCCGGGTTCAATCCTCAGCACCACATACCAACAAAGATGTTGTGTCCGCCGAGAACTAAAAAAAAATAAATGTTAAAAATTCTCTCTCTCTCCCCTCTCTCTTTAAATAAAAAAAAAAAAAGTCAGGAAGTCACCTGACTGGACCAGCAGCGGGGTGGACAGAGCATACCTGTCCCCCTCAGGTTAGCTGTAAATGGAAACTCCTGCCAGGTGTTCCCAGGAAGTCTGGAGTAGCCTATGACTGCCCCAGGGTGGTACGGGGGCTGAAGGCAGAATTTCCCTAGCAGATCCCGCCACACAAGCAACTCTACGGTCCAGGCTTGGGCTCTTGGACTCAGCCATCAGCAATCCCTGGGTAGTCCAGGAAAGTTCCTCTTTTTCCCTGATTAAGCTGCCTCATCTGTATGATGAATTAATTATTGCTGTCTCTCAGAAGGAATTGTTGCTGGTCCCAGGAACCCTTGTGAGAGAACCTTCCCAGGGAAGAGAGAGTGCTCCAACATCTCCCTCAACTCTGGGAAGTTTCTGAAGCCCAAACTATGCAGAGGACCAAAGTCTTTCTGGAGTTTTTAGGGACACCTGCTCTATTGCCCAATCCAAGCCCCAAAGCACATCTTTCTAGATAGATGTGGTAAGGTGGAGATACCAGCATCCATCCAGAGGGCTCATAGGGTCCTGCATTACCCTGAAGGACCCTGAATGGCTCATCCTTCCGTGAGAAGGGGGGGTTCTTATCACTCCTGGCCTCACCAGACACCAGCCCAGCTTCTATTCTTGCCATTTCAGCTCCAGGCTGACCAGTCCTGCACCCCCTGTCTAAGTCCCCAAAAGTACACTTCAAAAAGGCCAGGCTGGGGCTGGGGATGTGGCTCAAGMGGTAGCACGCTCGCCTGGCATGCGTGCGGCCCAGGTTCGATCCTCAGCACCACATACAAACAAAGATGTTGTGTCCGCCGAGAACTGAAAAATAAATAAATAAATAAAATCAATCTCTCTCTCTCTCTCTCTCTCTCTCAAAAACTCTCAAAAAAAAAAAAAAAAAAAAAAACGGCCAGGCTGCCCCGGAAAGACTCTAGTTCTAGCACTGATCCTTGAGTATCCCCAGGTCCCTAGCACTAGTGGGTCCTGA